TGCCGGCCTGATGGACCAACCACCGGCATCCACTCACCTGAATCTGGGATTTCTTCTTGCCAAGCGCCGGCTCGTTGATGGGCATCTTTATGGTCTCTTCGTAGTTGGTGACCACGATGGAGCGCAGGGCGCTGAACTCGGTGTGCAGCTGCTTGTCGTCCACTGACCAGAAGCGGTGGAAGAGCAGGTTCTTCTGGTACCTGCCCAGGCCACAAAGTGCACGATCAGGTCCCTTGCTCCATCCCCGCACTAATGAAGCTCAGCTCTGGCTTAATTAGCCTCATCCACCACCATCGGAAGCAGTGAGACCAGCAGAGCATTGCTGCTGCTCCATCCCACCTTGGGCCAGCCCTCCCCACTCTTACCAGTCTGCCACTGGGACCATCTGGAGGTCGGGCTGGTTGCCCACGACGTGGTCGACGAAGCTGAGCCTGGCGCTCGGTCTGCGGAGGGAAGCCAGGAGCGGCTCTCAGCTGGGCTCAGGGGCTCCCCACAGCGTGGGGGGCTCTGGGGCGAGGCAATGGGGACCTGTCCGGCTCCTCAGTGGGACATCCCACCAGCACATGGTGGCAAAGAGCAGGGCAGGACTCTCTGCAGAGCACTCACAACTTCGGCAGCAGGGGATCCCTGAAGAGGGGTGGGTGGTACCCGGGTAGGAAGAGGCCCTTGTAGTTGAGCTTTTCTATTAAGGTGTGGGTGGTGTCACCATACTGTGAGAGGGGGGAAGCGGTTGCATGGTGACCCCATTTTTCGGGGGGCCTCCTGGGTCCAGCTTGCTCCTGTGGACCCCACTCCGGCGTGGGGGCTGAGCCTCCACGGCTGCCCTGCCGCTTACCGTCTGGATCACCGCGAACTTCACCTTCCCGAATTTGTCCTCCTCCACCCAGGGCTCCTTCACCACCTTGGCTCCACGCTCCTTGGCTTTCTGGGCAGAAGGACAGAGACCCCCTCCTGCCGCAGCTCCCCTGGGCCCTTCCCCACCACCCCTCGCCGTTTCAGGGTGCCATGCAGGAGGGAACGGAAGCGCTGCCTACCTGCACGATGAAGTCGCAGTCCTCCACTTCGAAGGCGATGTCCTTCACCCCATCACCGTGCTTCACCAGGTGCTCCCCCATCTCTGCCCAGAGCAAAACCAGCCGCAGGCATGAGCAGAGCTGCTTTGCTCCGCCGTGGCCGTTTCCCGCTCCGTCCCTCCCCGCGGCACCTACCCTCATTCCCCGGGTTGAGAGCGGACGACAGAACAAACACGATCTGGCGAGGAAGAGGAGGAGAGGTGAGGGACGGCGACGCGGCGGTGGGGCTGCAGCCCCAGCCCGGGGCAGAGGCACCACGGCTGCGCCATTGAACGGTGCATACGGGTT